GGAAGGCGTAAGACGCCGAAAGAAAGCCAAGGAGCGGCTGGGAATTGAACCCGGGCCTCGCTGATTGCCGGTCAGGTGTGTTACCACTACACCAACAGAACATCCTATCAATCCTCTCGATGCCATCCTAATCCGTCACACTATATATCTTTAAAAACTTCTCCCCCCAAAAATGTGTAACCCCAGGGCATGTACCTCCAAAGTCTGATTTTTTCTGAACTCTGCATCCCAAAGGTACACGTGTACCAAGTTTCAGATTTCTAACTTCTCTAGAACATGGTTAGAATTAGCGTCAGTCACGATCGTCTATATACAGGGTGACCCATTTGAAAAGTTTACCAATGAATGGCCATGTACAAAAGAAACCACTGGACAGAAGCTGAAACTTGGCATGTAAACAGTTTGAAGAATGGGCTTCTCGAATCCGTAGAAAAATAAAAAATAAAATATAAAAAATAGTGTCAAAAGATGGTACCACCAGCGCATGTCACGTGGTCAATTGCAAAGCAAACCACAGGATAGATGAAGCTGAGACTTATCTATCCAAACCACGTTTCATCAATTTCCACATGTGCAAGGAACTCCATTGCAAAGTTGTAACGCCTTTCCATGTGGCAGCTGAACTCGATGAATCCGATATGGAAACAGCCGAAGCGCAATTTTCATCGTCCTCCGAACAATCTCTACCGGTATTCCAGTGCGACGTGCAACAGCCCTTGCAATGACAATACCAACATGCGATGTCGCGCGTTCTTCCTCTACAGACAATGCCACTTCTGCAGCCATGTCTTCGGAAACCCTACAGCCTCTCCTCTTTTTCAAATTGGCCACAGATCCTGTCTTTTCAAATTTTGCCACAAACTTTCCCAACGCTGCGATCGTGGCGCATGTTGTGGCATCGACGGTACAACCTTAAGGCGGCCTCCACATTCCTCCCATTTTCGTAAAACTTCTGTTATCACTTCGATCCGCGTAGTGAGCGCTAGCATGTTGACTTGCACTGGTTAGGTTCCGTACTCTTCCAGTCCGTGGTCATCCACTGATCTTTTATATTGTTCGCTGGCCATGTGACATGCTCTGGGGGTGCCATCTTTTGACACTGTAATTTTTAATTTATTTTATTTTTTCTACAGATCCGAGAAGCCCATACTTCAGACTGTTTACATGCCAAGTTTCAGCTTCTTCAGTCCAGCGGTTTATTTTGTACATGGCCATTCATGGTAAACTTTTCAAATGGGTCACCCTGTATTTCAGATGTGTGTGTGTGTGATAACTCTTAAAATTATGCCTGCCAAGAGGAGAAAAAAATCATCTCAAATGCATCAGCCTCTCAATAAGGAGAATCAAAACCTTTAACTTGAACAAATCTAACACACTCATTCCCTATTTATCGTGTCTACACCAGACAACCTCATGTGAAAGGCACATGCACGCACCTCCTGAGACAAGCTTGGCAAATACTCTAAGACTGTAACATGAAAAGGTTTTTATATTTTTTCCTACTGGAAATGTAGAGAATCAATAGTGCTCACTTCAAAGACTTCATTCAAGACTAATGGATCACAATAAACTCAGGAGTAATATATATCACAATATATTCAAGATGCATACATCACCAGGAATTACAGATTCATTATTCACAACTAATTCAAGATTAACATATATGTAACTATGAATTCAAGACTAACACACCCTCTGTTTCATGAAACACGATATTCAACAGACATTGTCTGTGGCATTGAACCCGTACAAAAGCACCCATTGCCCCCAAACCCATAGGGAGGAAATGCAAGTCTAAAGACTGGGCTCTATGTACATCTACAAACTCTAAAAAGATGCCTGGCAGTATGATGCTCTATTTCTTAAGAATACCACCTCATATACCCCTCTCAATGAAGAGAATCGAAAATTTTGCTTGCATAAATCTAACACAGCCACTTCCCATATTCAACAACAGACAACCTCATTTGAAAGGCAAATGCACACACCTACTGGAAATGCTGAGAAACTAGAGTGTTCACTTCAAATGCAACACTAATACATCACAATAAATTCCGGAGTAACATACATCACAATAAATTCCGGAGTAACATACATCACAATAAATTCAGAATTAATACATCGCAATAATTCAGGATAAATACATTACAATAATTCAGGATTAATACATCACAATGAATTCAAGATTAATATGTCACAACCAATTCAACATTATTGCATCACAATAAATTCAAGATTAATATATATAGCAATAAATTCAAGACTAGCATACAACAGCATACAGGCCACCATCCCCTTTGCATCACATCATTTTCTCCTGGAGGGTTAAATTCATACTTATCTCCTGGGATCCTCCTCTGCTGAAGGCATTGCTGCCGATGGTGATCCACCATGATGTGCCATGGGCCCCCGAATCTGAGGCATCCCAAATCCCACTTCACCCGCAGGCTGAAGACGATACTTGGGTGGAAGTGCCTCCTCATCCACACCACACTCCATGGGAACCACCGATGAAATGTGGACACGGTTCACACCTGCCACCTCGTTGGAATCCTTCTTCCCGGGCTTCACCCAACCTGACACCCACCAACCGCGATCTTTCCCGTTTTGGAATGCCACAATGGCACGCATCACTCGACACAGCTCGAACACGTCGATCCTCTCTGTGCCTCCCTGTGAGAAGATTCATCACCACAACCATCAAAGACTTTAACCCCAAAAATCACACCATCATACAACTCCATATGAAGCTAGAAAATAACCTTTGACTTTTACTTAACATCTTCATGCATAATTCCGAAAGATTCATCTTTATCCACATGGCCCTCATCCTGTCAAATGCTAGAAGCTGATGTGCTCCTCATTTCTTGAGACTTACATCTGAAAGGCCTTCCTCGATGAAAATCCTTGAGAACTGCAGGGAAGTGAATCGGTCCCTCACATTAAGGAGAGCGGCCACCTTCAAATAGGTCCAGATAGCCCAGGCATCAAGGGGACCCATCTTAATACAAGGGCAATCCTTGTCATCCTGATGGTCGCAAAGTGTGCTGGAACATGTGACATCGATTCCTGAATGACAAATGAATCAAAGAATGTAAATGATATGACAAGAAAGTCAAGAAAGTCTTTCCACAATGAGAGCCTTCAGACACAAGTTATAAGGCACCAGGCTTGATGACCCCAATTTCAGGGGCAAATATAAAAAATGCCTGCAATGTCCCTAGTTGTTCCCCCAGGGCACTCCTTCTTCAGGTTTGTGTCTGGTTTCCCAAGAAAGGGAATGAGGGGGTCTCCAGTGGTCACCAGAGGCACCCCACTCACTTCCTTCTCCAGGAATTCAGGCTCAAAGACAGCCACATGAGCCCCAATGTGCAGCTGGTCGCCCAACTGGAGCAAGTTGATCATTTCCACCAATGTCTTGGTGACGATGGCAAAAAGACTTGCCTCCATCACATCACTAAAAAGTAAGCAGTCACCACTTATTTCCTCCAATGGTAGCAAGATGGGAAAAATGAATGAAACTACCAATTTGCTACAACTCCACAAGTACAATCAAGTACAAGCATTGCATTTCGTATAAAAGTCACCTTTACATACTATCATTAATTCTTCTCTCTAAGCTAAGATCCTTCTCATCATTTTTCTTTTGTTTCTGCAAATCATACTTCCATTTCACCCCTGCAGCAACTATTCTAAGGCTGTGATATGATGCATTCATCTTAGCTGTCTTAGAAGTGCCGCCCTGAAAGCTCATCCTCCTCACTATGACCAAGGTGTTGGTTGGCTTCACAATGTGAAGGACTTCAGCCATCAGGCGCTTCATCTCTTGTGGTTCACCTGCCGACTCCAGTTTGGACAGTCAAATGCTTTCAACCTTCCCGGAGAGCACAAACCTCACAGCATCAAGTTATCACCATGCAACACCTTGTTGAGTATTGCACTCATGGCACACTGTCACAAACCTCAAATCCAAGCAAAAAATCTAGAATGAAGCCAAAATGAAAAAGTCAAAGATGAATAAAACACTACAGATCAAGCATAAAGAGAGAAAAACAAAACAACCAGTAGAAAAACATAGGCAATCATGGACCAGTACTGCTAAAGACATCCACTGCACTACCAATTGACTCCTGTCATCATGACTGAGGAATTGATTTAAACATGCCACCCCACTGAACCATGTGAGCCACAACACTAAATCTCTGAACAAGACTCCAACATGTGATAACCCAGTCCCAGGCACAAGTGTACCAGTGGCAATGAAGGAATACAACACACACGCACACAAACACATAAGGAGGAAGAGGAGGAGGAACCACACACACACACACACACAGAAACATTGGCCCTACTGCATATTTGCTTCGCTCCGAAGCAGCAGGGTCGCAGGTATGAAGTCACTTGCCCAGGATATTCAAAAAGGACCAAAAGCAGCTACAAATAGGCATGACAGCCCACAGCCAACCCTCATCACCACCACACCAACTTCATTCAAAATGCTTCAACACGGCACCTTCAAGATTCCCATTCATACTAGCAGAGGATAAAGTGATTCCCACACAATAACATGCCATTTTAAACACCATAAATCATTGAGAGATCTCCCCACACTTCACCCAGACAAGACTTTCACCCCATCCTTCATTCCAATCCTCTACAAGATGCATTCCAACACCATACGCACTCTCAGCCATGGATTGAGTCCCATGCCATTGGTTCAGATGATATTGCCACTGAGACTTGAATTCCTTCCTTTTCTCTATGTTGATTTGATCACTTCCCATCTCATAGAAATTTGTAACATAGGCAAGAAGATGTCATGGCAACAGATGTGAACCTCCCTGAAAATCGCCACCCTGCCTTCCACCGCTGTTGTGCTCCCTCTGTCAACGGCGGCGATCAGATGCCTCACCAATATACACAACCTGAGGGAGACGAACACTGACGAGCAAATAAGAGAAATCCTGACTCTCATATGGAAGCTCTCTGTGCAATGGATGATGCTGGTTGGTGACAACCCCATGTGGATTTCCAATAGACCTCTCAAAAACATTCAGCTGTTGCAAAACTTCATCCACGTGGTCCACCCACTGACTCCTATGCAAGAATAGCCTCTTGATGGCAGCAAGGGTGTCGCTAACATCCCCTACAAACGCCAGATCGTCAAGTGTCACCACTCGCAATACAATCACTATCAACTGCTCCAGGAGCCAGAGTCGATACTTGGGGTTCTCCTCACTGATTTGTGTTGCCGAATGACCACACGTGTCCCCCATCACCTAATGAAGTGTTGGCAATGTAGAACCTCAGCGGCACCCAACGACAAAAGGCAGGGTGGTGTGCCATCGAATCGAGATCTCATTCCATGGGCAAGCTTCAAGGTCAGCTGGCATCCGTCGTTCTCCTGGTGGCGCGATCTTCACTCTGATGTGCTGCTGGTTGCATGGACGTGATGTGTCTGGCAGGCACGTCACAATGCACAACTGGCCCTGTGAGAATCGACGACCTGGATCTCCATCACTGGTGTTGTTGTCGGTAAGCCGCATGATGGCACCTTCAAAGAGGAGGAGGCTTTCCATCTCCAGGCAATGCCGATTTGTAACCTTCGTCACACACTTGTCAGCAGCTCTCCAAATGCCACCCAACACCTCCACCTCACCCTGGACAGGAGAGTAGCACTTTGCCAAAGTGGAGTCCCTCTCTTTCGATTGCGTGAATCTCCTCACCGCCTCCTGTTCGGCTGCATGCGTTCCGACCACCCTCAGGGTATCATCGGGAACGTCATCCCAGCTGCTGACAAAGTTGGCCTTACACTGTCTCAGGATGATGTCAATGGCTTTCTTGCTATCCTGTTCTAACCTGTCCACTTTCCTGAGGAGGATGATGATTCCCTGCAGGTCATTGTCTTCAGCAGACCTAACAAAGTGTTTAAGGACAAATATCTTAAATGTTGTGATCATGTGAGTAGTTGCCCACAACAAACGACCTTGGACAGGTGGTAACTGTCTGGGGTCTCTAGATGTCAGTACAAGAGCACCACCCCAGGGCACTGTGGAGATTCTTATGTGCCGTAACACTGCATCCAAGACATAGAACATCTCAGCAGATAAAAGACCTATTTCTTCAAAAATGAAAAGATCAATTCTTCTCAAAAGGGTCTCTTTCATGGGGTCACGTAGCAGTCGAGCCAAACAAGACTGAGCCAGCTGGTGTAGAGTGACTTGTCTGCCCCAGACAACAGGGATGGGAAACATGAGATGCACATGATTGCCTCCAAGAGCACATGCCCTTTCACTTCCAATGCTGACAATGGCCACATTCAGTCCAACTGCAAGTCCATATGTGGCTGCATTCAGAAGGATGTGGGTTTTCCCTGAACCTGGGGGTCCCATCATGAGGACGAAAGGAATGAATGGTGTCATGCCGCTCTGAAACCCCTGAATGGAAGCCACACACTGTTGAAGGACTTGGTCCTGCTCCCTCCATGATTCTACAGACTGCCCTTGCCCTTTGGCAAGACTGGGTTCCCATTCCAGAGGTCGATCCAATGTTGCCTTCTTGAGAAGGGAAATCCCTATGTCCCTGCTGAGCGAATGCACCAATCAATGTCCTCTGACGCAAGCTCGCCACATCAGCCACTTGTTCTGAGGCCCTCTCCTGCAGTGCCCGCTCCATCACCTGAGAAGCCAGAAACATTCATGTTATCACATGCCCACAACTTCACATACAACACTTTTCTTTGTCACCTACCTATGGCATTCCAGGGAATTCAAGGACGTTCTCAACCAGAAGCTTCTGCAAACCATCATAGGCAGCACACAGATACCCCCCAAACACTCTTGAGCCGAGTGGCAAATGCATCAACTGGTCTTGAACGTAGTCACAAATGACAGCTCTTGAATCAGTCTCTGTGATGTTATTGGGATCAGGGATCATGGCAGCCCGGTGGAAGGCTGACTGCATGTTGGGAACATCAAAGACATCCAGTTTGGTATCAAACCTCCCACGAATCAAGGGGAAGAGAGTGAAGAAGTTGATGCTCCTCATGGGAGACATGTCAGAAAAAACAACCATAACCTCCTTCTTGCTCCCAGGTTTCACGAACAGATTCCACAATGATGCAGACTCAGGCCGCAAGTGTTGGAAAATCTCCTGATGAAGTCTCACAGCTCGCACTTCTCTGGCACCAGCCAAAGTGCAGACGTGCATGATTCCATCCTGCAGGGCACTGATGCGTAAGCGAATCAACCGTCCCTCCCCATTCACCCAGGGACGCTCATGCTACTCTCGATAGGCAACACATCGACATTGGTCCCTTGTGGCCACAGGACACATATCCCGAGGCAGTGGTTCAGCTGTGAATGTCCTGCAGGAAGAATATCACTTAGCACATGAAATGCATCTTACATATCATATAGAAATCACAAAACCATACCTGTGAAATTGCTCAAGTGAGTTAAAGATGAGAAGTTCTGGAGGTCTCAAATTGAATGCTGCAACCTGATCAAGGTTGTAGGGAGAATGGAGATGCTCAACCATCAGTTGCTCCTGGCTACGTGTGAATTGTCTCCACTCTTCAAGCTGAAGAACATCTCATCGAATCTGCACAGGCTCCAGCAGGTCCCCTGTGAGCCCAATGGTGGCCTTTCACCTTGATGAGATGTCCATGAAGCCCTCCTGACAGTACCAGTACAGCACTCAACAGGAAGTGATGGCACATGGTGAAACTCCACATTTGTGTGGATGTAAGGTAGACCCAAGCTATACCATATTGATTCTGTCACTGGTACCTCCTGTGCCAGGTGGTTCAGCTGATGCTTCTGCTGCATCCCTACTTGGTGCACAACTTGAGCCCCGGAGATCTTGATGTTGCAGAGACTCTCAGATTCCACATGAATTTCATCACTGGTGCACCTAGCACTCATGGTGACATTCTTCCGTTCCTCCTGATCAGCAACATACTTGACCAGGTAAGATGTCTGGAATCAATGGTCACACTGCTGGATGTTGGTGGAACTACATAAGGCAATGAACACCAAAGGAACAGTGGGGCAGAAGCGTTCTCCCTTTGAAGCTGGATAGAGCCAACGACCACCACGAAGACAAGTTGCCGGATGCCAAATCCCTTCATCAGGGTCAAAGACTGCCAGGCCCAGCATCTTCAGCTGTTCAAGGGCATCACTATCAAATCTTGGATCGCACACTTCCTGCCAGTACGGGCCACCATGAGGATGGTGGGGAACACGACACATGACCTCCCCCTTTGGATTCCTCTTCTTCTTGCACCAGTGCTAAGCTCTGTCATAGTCATGCGTTTGAACTGTCTGCAACAAGTCATGCAATCTGCAGAACTCTGACCAACTGCTGACCAGCCCCCAACCAAGCAGGCCTTCAAAGTCCGTCCCATACTTGCTATGGAAGAAGCTCACTGAACGACAACAGATGCGCTGAAGGAGTTCCTCATCACTGTCTCCTGCATGCAATGTGACACCCCCGTGGACATGGGGCTTGTTGCCACATGAGCCGGGGTCCTGAAACTCCCAATGCCACCATAGGCGTTTCACGTGACCATGAGGCTGCACTGGGGACTTCTCAATGTATACCATGAAATGTCTCATGCTCCGTTCCCACATGCAACAAAACAGAACGGCATTGGATTCCACTGCTGCCTGCAAGCACACAAACCCCATCCATGATATGAGGGGAACAACAACACAACTGCCAAGATTCATGCAAATCCATTTCGGCATTTCTCCCTGCACCTTCCACCTCATATTCTCATCCTTCCACTAAAAATACTCCCTTCACAAATTCCTCACCTTGAATTTGCTAACAAACCTCACCGGGTCCTTACCACCTCACCCTGTGCCACAAGACAAAACATGGCCCACACAACTTACTACTGTAAGTGTTGGAAAACCTCCACAGGACTAATACCACTCCTTGTTGATGAATACTACACATAGCACTTCGATATTGGGTGAATGAATAACTGTGAATCTGGCAGGTATTGAAAATATCCTGACTGTTGAGACTCACAGCACCTGATAGTCTTTCTGTCACACTCAATCCAACTTCATGTCATATGCTACTACATGACTTACAACAATGCCACGAGACAGCATCTCAGACATATTTCATTATCTCAAGCTCCACCCTCCTCACTCTACTCGCAAATCCTTACCTTTAATAGCTCCACATCACCACCACAGAATTCCTCCAATGCAGCATGAAGAGGAGCCACTCAGAAAGTCTCCCTATCATTGCAAGTGGACGTGAAGAAGTAGTCCCACGGTCCACGGCGTAGGGGCGCCGCCAGTTCATGAACACGTTGACGAGCATCAACCTCTTCAAAGGGGAAGATATTATCTAGGTATGCAGAAGGAATCCCCCTCTTTCTCTCTGCAAGTTGCTCCAGACCACGGGCCAACACAATGCGAGAGTGGCAGGATCTAAGATCCAAGTTCAGGAGGCAATCAAATGCAAACTGAACATAGCGGGTGTCATGGCTGGTCAAGATCGACCCATCCCGAATATGAATCTCCAGATGGTTCCTCAGGGTTCCAAAGCCGGCCACCCTATTGAAAGCACCACTTCGGAGAACAAGGCTGAAGGCAGTGCACCCACAGGACTTCCATCGCTGAGACTCCTCCAAAATATCAGGGGGAACATCATGGCTTCTGGGTACAGAAGTGGCACAATGCAACCAGACAAGCGTGCAGTTATCTGCTGCAGAAACTTCTGCACTGAAACAGGAGCGGGTTCACCACAACTAGATCAGTTCCAAATATTTAAAGGTCCCTTGAGGAGGAAATGTCCAATATTTCTTTCTTTCCACACAGTGATCGATACACAGCAGGAATCCCACCGTCACTTCGTGGAAAGCTTGAGTCACTGAACTCGTTGGCAGTCCCAGAGGCATTTTCCAGAGGATAACCAGCTGTCACATACCACTCAGCATCTCACACATCCCCCCTGCTGCTGCAATTCCTGTTGGTATCCATGCCCCCTTTGTGATCTAAGTTACTCCCATTGCCCAGAGGTAAATCCACATCCTCTTCTTTCTGCCCCATGTAAAATCACATTGAAGGATCACCTGCTTGACTGCCTGTGTCACTTGTGTCATTCTCAGGGAATGGTGTCATCACCCCCAGTCCCATCCTTAGCCCAAACGGCCAGCAGCATGCATTCAAAGTTCCACGAACCTCGCGGATCAAGGGGAGATCATGCTTCAGGCACACCATGTACTTCTGCCCTCCAATGAATTCCAAGTATTCATACTTGAGCTCCTTAAATCCAGCTCCTGCATTCAGTCATACACGCAGATGTTCCAGGACCGCTGAAAGGTGCAGAGAGCATCTTTCTCCTTAGTCATCCCAAGTTGCACTGGATGTTCCCCAGCAGCACACATCCACCACCCACTCCATTGTCCTCCCCACCTCATCAATCCTTTGGCAATCCAGGTGCCCACCCCCACACTGAAGTCCAGAAGCATACGGAGCTCATATGATGCCCTGGAGATTTCCAAGGCTACAGAGGAGGGATACTTCCTCCCTGCATTTATATCACGTACTGCTGCAGGACGTTCTGGGGTGAGTATCACCAATGTCTCCAATTCATTCATGGCAATGCCATGCTCACAGGCTCCATGCAAAATGCTCTCCTCAGTTACAGCCCAAGATCTTCTGTGCTTCATGCAGAAGACACCAGAGAAGACATTGAAACAGTTTCCGACCCATTCACACACTGACTGCCCACCATCGACGACACCGATGTCTTCACCATCGCATGCGCCTGCGTGGAGAAGTCAAGATCAGCAATTTAGAGGAAAGATTTAGGTGCCCCAACTACTCAAAAACGCTGCAACATCACAGATAGCCCTCCCATCCGACTCTCCCTTCCGTCCTTCAAATGTGACCATTAGTGCACATACTCATGTCCATTAACTAATATCTTCTCAGCAATGCTCTCAGTCACTATAAGGAATACCTCTCACCATTCAAGTGTTCTCATTAGGTGAAAAATCACTGGAAATGCAGAGATCACCTTCAATACCAGGGGAATCAGATATCTTCACAAATGGCATGAACATCATCGAAGCTTGCCCTTCACAATCAGCAGGATGAACACAAGAGAATCAATTGTAGTCCAACTGCTACAACCATTCATTACCTTGCCACTCCAGGAGCTTCTACTCCATGGTGCTTGCAGAAGCTGTCTGCCGCCTCACAGTCCTATGAATCCATTCTGCCAGATCAGTTTCAAAACCGACACCTCCTACTTTCTTCCCTTGGCGCATCAGGCTGCCAAAGATGTGTCCATTCCCCAACACCACAAAAGAAAAAGATCCACAGGGTGAGGCCCTTGGAACGTGAGGAAGAAACTCTGAACTTTGACAATGCATGGGGCATCTGACCATGGCAATCAAGCGTATGTGCCAATGGTAGGACTTCCAGCCACACCTTCGGCCTGCAACACATGGGAATTGTACAAATGCAATGCACTGAGCAACACAGCATGGTCCCTCATCAACATGAACAGGTAACACACCAGACATGGAGTGATTCATATTCATGTCTTTAAGGATGCTCCTGAAATGAAGTCTCACCTGAACTTGGACTGGAGATCCTCAGCCCCGACTTCACTAATTCTTTCACTCCCTTGCTCAATCAGGATGTCATCAGACACCAGACATACAGCCTCACCAACTGCACCTGAAATCCAAAGGGAAATGTGTCACCTCCTCCACACACAAGATTTCCTCACATCACAAAAAAAACATTCATGTCCTATGCAACAAACCTTCTGAGAAACAGAACAAAAAAATCCATGATGAGGGAAACCAAAATGCCAGGATTGGCCAAGACTAACCATCATCACCCTCATCAGATCCCATGTCATCAACATCCTTCAATCCACGAAAAATGGAGTGATGCCATAACTGAGCAGCTGCTTCCACAGGGACACAAGTGCCTCCTTTGCAAGCCCTTTCAACCTACAAAGACACCATCCAACACACATACACCCTTGAAAATCACAACTAAGTTCAACTGAAAACAGCCTTCTTTTTTCATTCACCCCCCCCCCCCCTTGCTTCTTCTCTCAAAAGAATGACATGTTATAAAACCTGCCATAGCTTTAGGAACAAGTACCAGTCAAAAACATTCTGATGGCACTGCAACCACAAGCAGCACGCCCAACTCACCTCAGATAATGATACGTGTTGCCTTTGCATGTAAAGTTGTAGCATGTCCACAGGAAAATCACTGTTGCTCTACAAAAAGCCCAAGATATCTGCCCTTTGTTTGCAGCACCAGTGTCTCAGCATCAGCTAGTAGCTTGGATTTCAGGTTCCATCGTGGCCTTGTACTCAAAGAAAATGATGACAGTCCTCTTAATCCACCAATTTCCCTGAACACATGAAAACTGGTGTTGAAACTGGTCCGTCCAGGTCGAACGGTGTTGGGCAGCATCACCACAACACCCAAATGGTCATCTTCCAATGGAGCCAACAAGTTCACAGCTGGATTCAGAGGAACGTGCAAGTACTTCTCACAAAATAGGACAGATAAGCCTTCATCCTTGTCTATGATCACTCCAGGCATCACATCCCACTTCAAAAATGACTGCACACATGGGCAGTCAGGACGAAGCCCAGCAACAGCACCATGTTTCATTCCAAAGCCATTGAATTGTGGGAACAACAGAGGCAGAACATGATGGAAGGGCACTTTGGAACATCTCTCTAAAAATTCCCAACATCCCAACCCACACCGCACCTGCAACACAAACATGAACCATTCTACGTGTGAACTTCATCATCATACACATCACCAGTACCTATTAAACTTGCGTGTGTGACAGTGCATGACATCATTTCCAAGTGGGACATATTCCTCCCACCAGTACCAACTCACAGCAGTCCCCATTAATCCAATTCTCAATGCAATGGACAATTGTCACTTCCAAGGGAAAATGACAGCTGGGCCAACCCTAATTTTCATCTCTGACCACAACCTTCCACCACAGAGAGATAATGCCACAAACATCACGTTAATTCATTCACACAACCCAAACATCTCAAATCTTACACCCATTCTGACAAGAGTTCTCGCACTCACTGTTGCACATGACACTACAATCCCCCCTTTCCAATACGATGAAGTCCCCTATCCAAAACTCTCTGGTCATTCAATTGGCATTCAGAGATGATCTACCTGACCAAAACAGACAATGATAATGAAGTTACGGCATACCTGTTTCACTCATACTGAAACAGAACCATTACAGGATGCCATCACATTAGCCTATGTGATGGGGAAACAGTCCTCCCCTTTCTTCACATCTGTGCTTCACTTTAACCATGACTCCTTCCTTGAAACTAGACCCAAACACATCAGTCCAGTGCTGACTACAATGCTCCCCCCCCCTCTTAAAACCAATGCATGAATCCCCAATAATACTCATACCAACATCATCACAAACAGCAGACATACAGGTTACACATTGGTTCAAGCCCGCCTGCAAGCTGGACATGCTGAGCCATGAATGCCTGATCAGTACCCCTTCCATCTCCACCTCTTAAAACATGTGGCCATGTACTTTCATGGTACATTCTCACACCATGGTACTTTCTCACCATACCCCCAAAACCACTACTTTCAATTTTGAAACAAGCTACTGAAATTGCAACATGCTCCCAGATGGAAACACTCATCAGCAGCAGCCAGAACCCCTCTGTGTCAATAAGACAAGGCAATCCTGCCTCAAACCTCACCTGCGGTATTGGATGTTGATTCAGAGCTCCCATCAACTGCACCAGTTCCAGACACCAAGTCCTTGTTCAACTCCTGCTTTTGTTATGTAAAATCTGCAAACACTGGTGATGGAGGGCCATTTCTAATAACTTCCACAACGTCTCTGTGCATCTGGAGCTGAAAGGGCTGCCATGATTCCCTCAATGACTCAGGAATCCAGGCCCACACCTGATGTACATCCACTTCAAATGATCCACCAGCCGATGCCAGTCCTCTGCGATCATTTACCAATGACCACAGACATGCAGGCCAAGCATATTTCCAATGGAGCCCATCCTCCTTCAAATAGTGCAGACACTCCACACACAGCATTGCCCTGTCTGGCACCCTCCTCCTCCGCCTGATGGCACCGTACCGCCAACACAGGAATTTGTCACCAGTTGTGCTCACTGTTTCTAGCACCACAACCATTTCATTGCATGGAGTACGGAAACAGTTCCAACAGTGAGGCAGTTCTTCCTCTGGCAAGGTTGTCAAATGGACCTCCTCATTCTCCAAGGGTTCATCAATTGCATTGTCCACAACTCCCTACACAGAAAGAACCCCAAGCACACAATACATGCCATGTTCAAAATGCTTCCAGAATCACACACACTGTCCCCGAAATCCTTCTCTCCCCCCCCCCAAGAGACACTCGGAAGTGCAAAATGACACAAAATCTTCCTCTGCGAAAGTATTCCTTCTTATGCCAGATGTTTAACTTCACCTCTCAAAACTTGCACTACAAAATTTAAAAAAAACCTAAAAGCCTTACTTCTCCCTTTGATACAAGTCCTCCACAAGTCACAGGCTCATAAAACATGTTTCACCTCACAAGACATTTGAACTTTACATCTTCTACTTACATCAGATGCCCACATCTCAAATCAAAACATATCACTCAAAACTTCTCACTGTCACTGCAACACCTCGATGGCACTGTCACTGAAAGAATTCTCACAGCTGTACACTCCAATCACATTATCACCCCTTGTTTGTCAATATATATCCACCCTTTCAATCTCAATATGAAGCATACTGTGGTCTTAAAGGTCAAAACCATTAAACCAAAATCTCCAATCACCCACTCTTCCATCTATAATAACATATTTATCTATTTCATTTTTTCTCTATGTATTTCTTTGGGCCCAGAGTGTGAAGGCATGCAAAAATCCTCTTTATACGAAATAAATAAAAACTGACCCCATTTCAACACAATAATCCACAGTGAAATCGGGGTAGGGGCAGGGTCAAACCGTGTGGATCGTGCGCTCGCATTCAAATACAGACTTACCAAGCCAACTTTTTTTTGCAAGTACAGTGGTCTAGTGGTTTGAATGTAGGGATCACGATCCACCAGATGATGGTGTCGTGAGTTCGATTCCTTGGACAGCCAACCTCTGGCTTGAGTTCCCTTGTCCTGTCTAGTACAGGTGCATGATATACAAGAGTACCATTTCTCGTCAACCACATCCCTGCTCTCCACCTTCCCCACACCCTACTCCATCTGTAGCCACATCACCACTGATGCCAATATCCATGGCCCCAGTATATCCTTCCTGTGCCAAATACTACACACCTGCTCTGGTAAGCCATACACAATATACAAAGTCTGGGGAACATATTTTCACTTTCCACAAGAATGGCACCACATTCCACTTTCAATAAGAAACACTCCTCAGTATCCTGGACAAGCCATCTTTCTTTCCCTTAAATCTCTATTACAGGTCTTCAACCTTATCCACCTAACAGATCCGGGATGGTGAATCATGTTTGAATTATGAACATAGGGATTCCCATCAGTTCACATTCACACTACGCTCACTATCTCTCATTGAGAAATGGATGATTCCCCTCGGTCTGCAATGAAAAGTATGGGATTCTATCTCCCCTCTTGCGCCCTTTTCGGCGAGACACAACCAAAGAGAGACATTTGATGGCAAGATGGCCAAAGAAGACACATCCATGAAATGTAATGATTTTCAGTCACAGTCCCTGTACTGATACTCAACACCCCTCATATAGACACTTGTTGAGATCCCTAATTTGAAATCCTCCTCAACCCTTTCACTTTTCACAAGCACAACCGACCTGAGTGGGCATCAACATTTCCTATATCCAGACACAGTGTTTTACAACACTGTAAGGGACAGCCACTGATTTCAAGTATACAGCCTCCTAAGTCTTAACACACCATCTTCTCCCTCAGTGTTTACTTTGACAGGCATCAATGATGAAGATGTCTAACTTCACATCACAACACATACATAAAACTTCCCCCTTTCAAAATGCTACAAATCAGAGTTTTAAAGGGTTCCCAACAACAGAATCCCCTCATCTCAAATGACCACCTCATAGGAATTCCTTGGCCCAAGCCTTGGTAAATGCATCACACTTTGGGGGAATATACCCTTCCCCTTTCCTGGACATAATGGTCAAAAATTGACTGGAGCATGCAATATATATATATATATATACGAGGGTCGCTCGGAAAGTATGCATGCTAGGTCTGAGTTAAGATTTTCTGCGTAAATAATGAACTTTCCTGCCAAAAATTCGCAAGTTTGACAAATATCTGCTGGGAGACACAAGCAGGAGACATGTTCAAAATGGCAGCCACACTTCAGGTGGGTGAAAAGCAGAGAGCATTAATTGAATTCCTCAGCTGCGAGGGTGTAAATCCTGCAGATATCCACTGCCACTGGAAAGTTTATTATGGTGATGCCTGCGTTGATGACAGCATTATCAGACGATGGGTGAGTTGCTTCACATCTGGAGAGACGAGGGTTAAAGACAAGGCACGATCAGGACGACCCATCACTGCCAGCACTCAAGAAAGTGGGTGAATGATAGGCATATCATCACTTGGGTGCTATGCCAATTGATGTTTCGGACCTGGCGCCGTCTGACTACAACCTCTTCGAACCCATGAATGAAGACCACAGAGGACATCACTTTCAGAATGATGAGGATGTGAAGAATGCAGTCTGAAGGTGACTTCGTCACCTGGGCAAGAGCTTCTCTCGGGATGGAATTCATGCTCTTGTAAAACGTTCTGAAAAGTGCATTACCCGTAAAGGTGACCATGTCGAAAAATAGGTGGTTCATCGCAAAACCCTGATGGACATTACTTGTTAATTTCATGTAATTATCATCAATACAGAGTGAGAAAAACATATATGTGCATTACTTTCCAAGTGACCCTTGTATATATTCAATATATATATATATTCTGTCAGAGAATTCCCAAGCTTGCTGGACTATGGCTGCTCAAGGACTTCTGCTTCTGTCCATGAATATCAATCAAATATTGAGGGACAACATCTTATACTTCCCAACTCACTTCATCCACATCCCCACTTCCTGCAACATCCACACTGACCTCATCAAACGGAACTCCTATGCCTCCTGGCACTGAGCTTGCAACTGCTTCTTTCCCACCTCGCAGACGACACGTCCTTGAATTGTGACTGAGAGGTGGTTCTGCCTCGCTACAGATGCTGCACGTTACGGCCCTCCATCTTCCCATCCAGCTTTGGTTCTTACAGCCGCACAGCAAAACGCCTATTACCTATTTGCACAGAACGCAATAAACGAGCATTGATGGGAAAATAAATACAGAAAAATAGAGACAACATAAGACCCAGCTATAAAGACCTGGGAAAAAAAAAATCAATGAAATAAAAGAGAGAAAAAAAAAACAAAACAAAACAAACCAAATGAGAGAGGAAAATTTCCTATTCAATCACCCGATGTGACCCTGGAAAAGGCTTGCACGAAGTAAGGAGGTAAGTAAGGAGGGCACCAAACTACTGGTGCGCGTTTCGATCAGTGAGTGAAAGTCAGAGTTCAACGGCCGAGGGAGAATGCTTTTCTCTCGCAAAATTCGTCCCACTCTCTTCCGCCCCATCAATCTCCTTCGATCACACCCGTGGTCCACGCGGTGAACGCGTGGGCGCGACCCGCCATGGTGGCATGTTTTTGTTGTTTGGTGCAGATCCGTGACCTTGCACACACTCCCCGCAGCTGCCGTTCCCTACCCGTGCGACGCACTCCCGGTTCGACCGCGCACTTTCGCGCTGCCCACGCCGCGAAGCGCGAGCGGATCGGCGCCAAAAAAAGTTCCTCGGGGCCTCGACTTTGCGTCCGAACGGATGCGCGCGCGACGGCGGTATCGTCCAATTCAGCGCCTGGTGATATTTGCTTATGTATGGAGCCGGGTCAGGCCTTCGGCCTTGGGCGCGCCTGCGAGCGGGGCCCCTCCCCCGCGGGACCGCCAACCGCCCGGGTGTCCCACCTCCGAGGAAATCTACTCCCGGGGGAGGACGTCCATCTAGAGACGGCTGTAAGCCTTGGATATTTTTAAACGACCTCGACCTCGACCTGGATGTCCTAATGGGCCGAGATGCTTCCTGACATCCCGACCCAGCAAACAATTTGAAACATAATGTTGAATCAACATTGAATAAACGTTCTGAGCGTTGATACAACGTTGGTCCAACGTAGCCTTGTTTGCTGGGGATCCGAATCTCGCATCTTCAACCCTCAAGGTGCAGAGCGCCGGAGCAACAATAGAGAAAGCCAAAGGTAAGATTCATTGTCGTGAGATCGTGCTAACCTAAAGGCTATACCCAGGACCCATGGAACGGTGCAGCAGTTTTCCAACTTCTCCTCGGCGGCATGTGAGGCGAACTCAAGCGAGGGCTGGGGAGCGAGAGCCTTCTGGGGAGCGAGAGCCTTCTGGGGAGCGAGTGCCTCCTGGGGAGCGAGTGCCTCCTGGGGAGCAAGAGCCTCTTGATGCCCGCCGGAGAGTAATGTTGGCAATAGTCAAGGAGCAGAACGAGGGTTACAAGGGAGAATACAGGCGAATTCAAGAAGAAATTTGCCAGGGGGTCAGTACCTTCTTTTTTCTTCAAAACTGGAACCGAAGGACTCTGGGTAAAAAGCCAGGATGTTTTTTTCTCGAGAAAATCACGTTTAAAGTAGAATTGTCTGTGATCGGCATTCACAGGAAGATTCGCGCCTCCTAAAGGTTCCTTCACTGATGGTTAAAAGTCAGGGATATCCTACCTGTTGCCATGGGGTAGCTTTGACTGGGAGGGGCATAATGGTTCTTTTATTCAATCTATAGGCATGCCTTGAATGAGAGCAGTTTCACTGCCCATTCAAGTATTTGTAATAATAAATAAATTTGTGCAAATATATACAAGGATTGAATTAAAGTAAAAACCATGATGTCTTCCATAGCCAAAGCCATCAAATACAACAGGCAGGCTATGACCGGCTCCTAGCCTAGAGAAGAGGACATAACAAAATCCCAACTATAGCAAAACAACTTTTCTACCTTTACATTCCTACTTATATTGTAGCGAACCCCAGGGGGTCACAAGATATGGGGCACGAATGCCTCGCTACATATGGGGATCAGACCCAATGTGATCGGATGGTAATCAGGAAGGTTGCGTGTTCTTATAGATGGTAAATTAGCGGGGGAGAAGCGAAGTCTCAGATCTCTCTAGACTCCA